AACGCGTTTGCCACTACATTTTATTCTAAGCATTCCTTGTTTCTGTTATCCTGGGTTAAATACATCAGAGTAACTAAGCACAGTTTTATGGGTGGAACTCCATCTACTCTTGGCAATGTTAACAGCACAGCTATTCTGGTCACAGATCATGACTCATCACATTCTTCCTGGCAAAAGCTTGTACTCCAACTAGAGAGCTGCTGCCAAGTGATTCTCTGTGGTTTGTGACAAACAGGAAAAAAAACACTCAAAACCTAAACGCAAATTGTTAAAGAAATATCAAAATGGAGGTGAACAATTCTGAAAGTAGCAGAAAATAGATGACTCCTCTAATTGCACAAAAATCTTGAACTTCATTACACAGTTCCTGTGGATGCTAGTAATTTATGCCTTGAATTGTTCTTGCTCAAAACTCAGCACATTAATATGGTCAAGTTACAGCCAACACAATCTAAACCTCAACATCAATCAAACAAGAACCTTTCCAGCACTGAGTAGGAATGTCTCTATCTCATGCCCACACTAGATAAAACACAAATCCTATTTACTTCTCAGTCTCCCACTTCAATACAGGAGGATGTAATTCATACTCCACGTAACATTGATGGGCCAGGATATTTCTTAAATCTTGTGGCACTGAAAATGGAATAAACTGAGTTTTATTGGAGTGTAACTGGAGAAAAATACAGTAAGAAATTCTGTACTGTGAGGGTGGTGAGACACTGGAACAGGTTGCCCAAGGAAGTTGTGGATTTCCCTGGAAATGCTCGAGGCCAGGCTGGATGGTGCTTTGAGCAACCTGGTCTAGTGGGAGGTGTCCCTGCCCATGGCAGGGGGGCTGGAACTAGATGATTTTAAAGGTCCCTTCCAACCCAAACCATTCTATGATTCTATGATCTTTAAATAGTGATAATGAACCTTAACGACATTCAGCCTTGTACTCTCCTATTATACTGTATATACTTCAGGCACTGAAGATAAAAGATTTTAACTTGCTCACACAAATGGCAAACTACACATTTTATCAATTACCAGGATTTTTAAATAGTAAGAACAAGAGCTCCCAAAGGCACTGCAGACAACATAAACACAGCAGTTAACTAGTAATCATGATCCAGCCTACAACACAGAAAGAAAACTTTTGTATATGGAACATTATTTCAGAATCTCATGAGACCAGAAAGCTCTGTGTTTCAAAAAATGATTAAATGTTAACTCCATTGGTCTCTTTCGTCTGAGATTCATTCCTTCTATGAAATTCAACCCTGTACAGAGAGACTGACCTCCCCATAAGTTTGGGTGCATTCCTCTTTTAAAAAATAATGAAAAAGAGCTTTTTCTCTTTTTTTTCTCCTCTTTTTTTTTTTTTTTCTTTTTTCAGTTGGGGTAAATTCCAGCATAATTATTTGGGCCTGAGCCAGCCTAATGCTCAATATGTTTGGGAGTCATAAAGGGTTTGCAAATGCTGCACTCTTGAAGGAGACAGTCCCTGGGAAATGTGGGCTCCAAGTTTCCCATTACTTACCAAGTGGGAAGGGTCTGTTTTACAGAAGGGATGTCTATATAATCCTGTACATCACTGAACCCCAGAAGAGATCAAGCTTCAAGAAAAACTGCAACAGGAGCATAGCAATAGCCAGACAATCAACAGATTGGTTGCAAAACAGCATAGAAAATACTCAGTAATGAAAGTAGCTAGCAACAGAAGTGATTAGTGAGGGTTGCCACTTAAAATAAATGGAACTTTCTAATATATTAACTTCTGTTATCTAAAATCATAGTGGTGGGCACTGGACTACTCCAGTAAAGTGAAGAACTCAGTACTGGGGAGGTGCTGCAGCCATCACACAGCACAGTGATTCCACAACCCCAGCAAAAAGGCTACGGTACACATGAAAATCAATTGCATTTATTTTTTAAGTTACAGCTGAGTTTGCTTAAAGTCTAAGGAATGTTTTAAGAAGTTTAGAGAGCAGCTTTGAAGAAAACTGACCTGTTTGGAAAACCTGTGTCTCTTGACGGGAAGTCTGCTTCTAAAATCTGAGGACATAACATGATCCCACAGTGCTCCCCACAAACTCCCCTGGAACTGGGACTTGCCTGAAAAATCATCTGAGCAATCAAGACAAGATCTTTCAGCATTCTGTGTAAGAAAAACTTCTTGGCCTTCCTTCAGAAGCCAGAATTCATAACTGCAGCTATTTATGCCATCCAGGTTAAAAAAATAAAATAAGTATTTTCTTTAGTTACATACAGTATATTCACTATCATTACTTTATTCCCGTCTCTGTACTCTAGTACAACTGCAGGGTTCTCTTCACGCGTTTTCTCACTAGGTGGCGATGTGAGAAGCAAGAAATGAGGGACAGGGAAAGACCAGCACTCAAAAACTTCTACCGCATTTCGGAGGAAATATTCAATCCTGGGCAAACTCTGATCGGTCTATTGATTTGAAAATTCACGCACTAACTTTATTTAAAGCAACTAAAAGAAATGTCAGCCTAGGGCCATAAATCAATTAATGCAATATAATCCTTGAATTATAACCATTCTACTCCTTGCAATATAAATATTGTGGTGGGAATTCAACTCACCATTTACATAAACACCTGTCCACCATATGAAATCCGCAGCAGTGCTATGCAAGTAAGATGAGAAAGAATTGTCTTGATATTTCATTACTACCTATTTTTTAAAAAACTACACAGAGACTTTACAAGGTCTTATTAAAACTGTACAAAAACTGTCAGCAGAATGAGTTCCAAAGCAGTAGTTGATACCACAAAATCTGGTCACAGAAAGAACCCTCTAACACTAGTCTTTAAGTTTTAGAAGGCAGGCATTCTTTATTCCTCCTAACATACCTGCCATAAGTCACAACAAGTAAAGCTTATATTGTTAACAATATACATATGCATTAGATTTCCTGGAATATCTCTACATATTTTTTTTTTATTTCCTGGAACTAATTGTAATATTAGCATCCTAATCACACATGCCCTTTGAGCCTGTGGGGGTCTTCAGTGGTCGCTCTGGTGTGTCCTTTGGTTGAACTCTCTTTTTGAGTATGCACAGTTTGGACTAACCTACTTTAGAGGATTTTTTTCTCCCTATGGTTATCTAGTCTTGGCCACAGTGTCTACTTGTTTGTCCTTGAGATTGCAAAATTGAAACAAGTAAGAACAAAGCACAGCAATATAACTGTATAAAGCATACTGGAATGTCTCTCTTATTATTTATTGTTACAAGCCTCCAGTTGCAGGCATCAGGTTCTTGCAGGCCTCAGCTCACAGACATCTTAGTTTTCTACCACGGACCAAGAAAAACAGAGAAAAATTTAAGACACAAATCTTGTGATTAAAATGCATCTGCAAGAGTATTAGCTCTGAACTACCTTTGAACAGAATCCAGCATCCTATTTAATAGACATTTTAAGCAGAAAATCAACAGAAGCTCATTATTGTGGACATTGATAGCTTCCTGCAGTTTATATTAATTCAGAAAATGTCTTTCAGCAGTTTTTTTTTCAGTGCAACTTAACTCCTTATGAATTCATTGTACCCTCCATCTCCCAGACTCTTTCAGTGCAATACTCCCACTCTCCCCTGAGACTTAGACAACGGTCAGGCCACTTCCCAATCCTCTAATCTCCATTTTTGGGGTTTCCCACGAGGAACAGCCCCAGCTGAGAGCAGAACATGTGCTCAACAATTCAGTCCATGCTGCAAAGTTCCTATTACAGTGAAAAAGAGCCCCATACTGAGCTGGCAGGTCTCTCCACTGACACCAACTGAACTTCTCTACATCACCCAGCCTTTGATTTTCCATAAACCACAGAGAACCAGAGCCCCTGGCATGCTCCTGCTTCTGGCCAAGAGGCCAAATGAAGACCTGCAGGCACCGTAACCAACATGTGATTTACAGACACCAAAGGAAGGGTTATTTTCTTCTAAGCAGCGCACAGAGGACGCGTGGACAGAGGCCTTCCCACGTATGGTCACCGCTGGGATTTCTGCTCCAGCTGGGTCCCAGGCTGGCACCCCGAAACATCCCCATAGTTACACCTGTCAGAACCTCCTCTACCACTTGCTTTCATGTCTCGGTCATTTGGGGTTGCACACCCCGCAGCCAGGTGCGTTCCCCCGCCAGGAGGAGGCGCTGTCGGCCCGCAGGCGCTCCCCGTGGGGAGGTGCCGGGCTTTACAAGCCCAGGCACGTTTTCCGCAGGAATACGCGTAGGCCGGGAAAACGTGCGGTGGCAGATAAGTCACCACAGTCTAACGCTGTCTGAGACCCGTCGGCGGAGGCGCCGGGCTGGAGCAGAGGCAGCCGCG